TTGTAGTTGCTCTTATTGTTGCTTGTGCTGCTTTATCCTTCTTGTCGAAGTTGTCCTCACTCCTCGGCATCCTCGTCCTGTTGCTGTTGTGTGTATCTTGCGCTTCAGTGGCTTAAGTTCCGTACTTGGCGCGACTTATCTTCAACAGCGACTTGTTTGCAAAATGAGAAAATGAATGGTGCGGTCAGCAGCTCTTCATCTTCGCCGTCTCGTCCTTGGGGTCCTTTCCTTATCCGTGGCGCTCCATTGCATTCCTTAGCATTTCATCAAAACTCTCTCTTGTTTGTTCTTCGGGATTTTCCCCACTGAACAGGGGACAACAAATGATTTCTTTTTGGGGGAGAAAAATGCAGCCCGGTTTTGGTCTTGGATTTGTGAAGGATTTGTCGCAATGTTAATATATGTATTTTCTTTTTTGGTATTTTTTGTGATTGCTTTATGGTTGAACGCGATTGATTTATGTCAAACAGAGTCCAGGATTAAATTCCTTTAGTTTATTTGTGATAATTTATGTATTTTTAAACATCTGGTGGTTGGTTATTTCTTTTGATTTTATTCAAAACTGAATTATAATATTTAAAATGTAATCCCTTTTAAATGAGTAAGTTTTCTTTGTGAACGGATCACTCTTTATGTTATTTTCTCTATTATTTAACTGTAAATGGGTAAAAGAAATATCCATTTCTGATTATTTAAAATTTAAAGTAACAAATTAAAGCCCAGCGCGGCATGCATAATAATATGCAGAATCGGATATATATATTTTCCCCCGCCAGTACTCGTCGGATTAACATCAACTTTTTTTGGAGCCCATCAAGTGCCGCACATTGGGGCCATTATATTTATTTGCGGCAGGCCGCACACACTTTTTATTCGCGGCCAAAATGTGCGCCATCATGTTGCCAGCAATTCCGGCTCACACGTTCACCTTCCCCCCAAAATTGGACCCTGATTCTGATTCGAATCCTGGCAGGTGGAGGGATCGAGGCTGGAAGTCCGGGTGCCGGTCATGTCGTAATTAGCAGGGCACACCGTTGCCGGCGATAATTAATGACATTGGTCACGTTGGTTTCATGTCGATTTCATTTCATGACACAGCCCCGGGCATCCACTCCCACTTCCACACCCACACCCAATCACAATCCCAATCCCAACTCCATGTGCGGTGATTTGTCAAGCGTTCTCATTGAAAAATTCAAAGGGAAAATAAAGAAAAAGTGCTTGGACCCGGCTGCATGTAAATCTACATTAAATTGAATTTATTCTTGCGCAGGAAAAGTGCGGGTGGCTGTGTTATTTTTTGGCCAGTTCGAATTTTATTTATTTTCTTTCGTTTTTTTTTAACTTTCCGCTTCTGCTCCATTTCGCAGGGCCTTCATTAAGAGCTGACCATTTTAAAATTCAATGCAATTTGAACTTTCAATTCAGTTGAGTTGAGTTCAGCTCGATTCAATTCGATTCGTTTCGATTCGTTTCGGGTTGCGCATAATTGAATAATTTATGGGCGCTCTTGGCCAAAGTTGTCTTTGATCAAGTTTTCGCAGCATTGCGGTCCCTATACTGGTCTATGAATATTACTTTTATTTTTATTTAAAGAAACTAAAAATTGAAATCACCCTTGATTTTTATTCGTGAATGTGTAATGAAATAATCATTATTTTTTGCAACTCTTGAATTGAAGTATAATTAAATCCTTTTACTATGTGATTGTATATAGCTTTTGGCATTCCCAAGCTTTTCGGCTTATGTATATATCCAAGAAAACCTAAAGTATCATATGATATGTGTATTCTCCGCATACTAAATCGATATTTTAATATATTACTTTTTTTAGGTAAATCGAAGTTTTTGAAATATAATAACTAAACCAAAAATGTATTAATTTCAATTCGGAAAGCTTTTCTGTGCTAGTTGCCAAAAGTTTTTCATTTTAAAAAATTCATTTTTTGGAAATTTTGACAATTTTAATGATGTATCATTATCATTTTTTGCAAAATCGAAAAAGTTTCGAAAATTTATTTTTCTGCGGGACATGGTGCTGATCAAAAATATATATGATTGATAAGGTCGGAAATGACTCCTTCACTGCGTTTTAAGCTTCTGATTAAATTATAATAAGGGTTAGGAATAGCCGTGTACTAATAAGTACCATTATTAAATTAAGTAAATTAACTTATCCTTAATCTGATTTTACATGTACTTGGTTATGCTTTTTATTGAAAACCAAATAATTAACTAAAAGCATTTTGTACACAAAGTATATTTGGATTAAGTCCAAACCACTTTCTATTAATAACTCTTAATTAACATCTTGCTGCTAATAGCCAGCGTGCGTGACAATTTATACATCGGATTTCCTTCTATTCCTCGATGATGCAATTAATTATACGCCCAAATGCTCAGATGATTCGATTTTCTCATATCTAGTTATTTCATTAATTGTTGTTTGCTTCGACGGGAATGGCATTATTTGCATATCACTTGATTTGGCAAATTTTCTGAATAGTTTGCGGACGAGGGAGTCGAGTTGATTAGAGTGCAAATGCCAACACAGCTTGTTAACTAATTGAGTGACCATTTTGCCCCGAACCTCCGCTGGCCATAAAATTAATTAAATTCATTCTATTTGATGATATGCCGCGTTCCCAGAACTAAAGAGAGAAATCGACGCTGTGGATAAGGATCATGAAATGCCATTGAATAATGGAAAATGTTTGATTTTCTTCCTCCTGCCAAAGCACATGTACTCTGCCAGAATTTCCGCAAATATTTGCATATCCACTTGCATTATATAAACGGTCTAGGTGTGTGTGCATATGTGTGTATGCATATATATTTAATCAGTAAATACTTAATGCTCTTATCCTTAATGCATTCGACATCAAAATGAGTTATTTGGCTTCCGAAATTCATCAAATTGTCGACGAAGCAAAATTTGCATACGCATCTGTCTGCCATGGTTAAATCCGACAAATCCAATTTGATTTTCGTTAATCCCTGAAACTTAGTCTTTTTCCTTTGAATTACTTAAACTTAGTTCGCTTAACCTTACTTTTGTTTCACCGAAATATAAAAATTAAATGAAATTAATCCTATATTAAAAGATTTAAGATTACTTAAAGATGTAAAGAAAAAACGAGAAATTGACATCGGTGCAGCAGGACATGGCTGCATCCTTATACCTTCTTTGGACATTACTTCCGGCTAAGATTATTTGCATAGCTGAGCTTTATTGGAAAGCAGGGGGATCCTGGCAAATAACGAAGCTAACAATCTGGGAACTAAAATGCTGTTCATGCAAATACAATAAAGAGAGATGGAGTTTCTATTAAATTTCATAAATTTATCAACATGGATTTTATTTACATAAACTGATTAAATTCAAAATATGTATTTATATTTTTTCCTTTAGCTTTTGTGCATACTTTTCATAGATTAATGGAGCTTAAAGTTTTTTTCCTTGCGGGTAATGTTACACGTATGTCAATTAATTTTCAACCCTTGTTAATTTCGTGTTTACAAATCGTAGTTTTTTGTATTGTTTGCCATTTATCACACAGTTACTCGTATTTCGTTGTCATCAACCACTGCTACAGCTGGTTGAAGGGGACCAAATGCTTGGAAACAGTAGATCTGACCCGATGTCAACCAGCTACATACAGCGTTGCAGATAATAAATATTAAATATCACAAAATTGAATCAAATTGTTTGAATTTTATTAAGCACGTTTTTGTAGAGGAGGCCTCGGGGCAGCAACGGCTCGGAAATGTAATATCAATGTGGCAGCCATCGCATAAATCAATTCGTACTAATTACGCGCCATTGTAGTAAGGAATTTTATTATACATATATGTATATATATATTTTTTGTTCCCGAATGAGCAATATTAATTGAATAAAATATGCAAACGCGTTAGTATTAAATCACACATAATGTATCGACAGGGCAGAATATTTACGCGTGCCCTGAAAAGTATGCTATGCGAATTGATACTCACCTAAAGAGCCATTTCTATGGGAAATTGATTATATTTATTTATTATAATATATATTCAGTGAAATATACTTAAACTTATGTATCTAAAATTACACATAAATATAATTTCTATAGTGGAGATACTCACCTGAATGATTATTTTTATTACAATCTTTGTTAAAATTACCTTTTAAGTAGTTAGCACTTATAAATATTAATTTAATCTTATTATAATATAAATGTATAATAAACACTTAATAAATATTTATAAAGTAATAATAACTCGAAAACTAAATGGTAAACTTACTTTGTTCACGGTAAAAACGCTGCAACGCTTTGGCTTTAATAAATATTTCGCAAATTTAAGGACTTGTCATGACCAGGATCATATATCCTCCCGCACTGCCCCTCCTTTTACCGCTTGGCTATCTATCCCCCTTCTGGCACTCATTCGGGCAATTGTTGTTTTGCATGCGGCACATTAGCTTCATTTGTTCTATTGTTTTGATTATGATTTACAATGCCCAATGCGCCGCTTTTGTTGCTCTGCTGAATGAGCCTGCGGTTTGTGTATCGTCCTGTGCGTGTTTTGTGGGTGTGTGGATGTGTTTGTGTGCGTGAATTTATGTTGAACAAAGCATAATACATTTGCATACAGTGTGAATAAGAGTGGAGGGAAGGATGGGGTGTGTGGTTTTTGGGCCACACAATAAATTTCATTTAAGCCCGGCACAAATCTTTCTCACTTTTCGAATGGTCTTTTGTGCTCTTGTTGTATTTTTTTTTGTTTTTCGTTTACAAAAAGTGCTATTAACGCTCATTAGAAATTTTGAATGAGCTTTAAATTATCCTGAGGATGGAATAACTAACACATCGACTATAAAGTTAGCGCATGTTTAGGTTTGCCTGAAATTTAATGTTTAAGTGAGGTATATTATAAAAATGGGAGTTCTTTCCCTCTTTGTGTATTTCCAGACCCTTGACTTTAGTTTCAAAGAATATTTTAATTAGGGACAATAATAATTGGCTTTGAACAAAAGGTACATTTAATTTCACAAGTATCGGTTCGCTTAAGAATCACACAATTGTTAAAAACAATAATTTAGCCATGCCAACATATTTCTAAGACATGCTCTGTTCGAAATGTTGTTACATTTACTCCTCCCGATTGGTTGAGGTGCCAGCTCCACTGAGATCCTTGTTGGGAAAAAAGTGAGCCTCCAGTTGCTTAACTCCTTCGGGAGTGCTCAGATCGAAAGCAAACTTTAGGTATTTGTCGAAATAATTCTTGGTGCGTTCGCTTTGATGACGCGAATGGCGATGACTGAGATTGGGTGATTTATCGGCTCCCTTGGGTTGGGGTTCCTTATGGGCCTTAGCTTCCTTTAGGTCCTTATGTTCTTTATTGTTCTTGATCTCCGTTTGTTCCTTGAGTGCCCTGCTCTCCTTGGGTGTCGATTTCTGGACAGCCGGAGTGGTGACTACGGATCGAGTGGTCTTCGGGGATGCTGGGATGTATGACTGTTCTCTGTGATGCTTCTGTCCCTGGGTGGCACCTCCTCCTCCTCCACCGGCCACTCTGGCCTGGGTCTTAGAGTGACTTACCATCTGGCATACACCCAAGCGGTGAACATCTTTAACAGTAGTTTTGTTCACTATGTTGGGGATAATCTGGCTTGTGACCTTGCTGCGTCGCACTGTCTGAACATCGCGGGGGGTGGAAATCTTCGGCACCTTCTCCTTGGGCGTTTCGATATCGGTGACTTGCTGGGTCCTTGGGGGATAAACCATGCGAGAGGACTTTGATTTGCGTGTCACTACTGTTGGATTGTGGGCCATTGTGTTCTAGATTGGCAGCGCTCTTACGGAGGGCCCTCTTCCTGGGGTAAATGGTAAATTTTAACCAAAACTGCAACTAATAAATGAAATGATGTTCAGAACAGGTTATAAACTAAAAATATATGTACAAATACAGCGGAAGGAGAGCAAGTTTTTTTTTTGGTTCAAATTTGAAACCCAGAACAAAGGCACTAGGGTGAGAAGTTGTTGTAAATAATATTCTCTGTTGTATTCTAGAAGCTTTAACTTGCTTTGGTATACGTTTAAGAGAAATCTAAAAAAAATACTCTACACGAATTCTCTTGAAAAAAAAGGAATGTTCTATAATCCTCTGGGTATAAATTTATTTTCTCTCTTTTAGCCACGACAAAAAGTCAAAGCTTAAAATGCGAGTAATTTAGCAAAGAGAGATGGAGAGATAAAATAAAAAGACTTTGGGGACAGACACTTCTTTTTGTTGGATTACTCTACTCATTTTTTTTATTTTTTTCGGGACAGCTGATAAAACGAAAGAAACGTCGGAGAGAAAAAAAACAATTAATTCCGGATAAACACATTTTATAATTAAAAAATTCCTTCGCCTTTTTTTGCTGGGGCCTCTCCTTCACTCTATTTTGCTTTCCACACAAAACAAAGCCAGCGGGATAAAGTGAAAGAGCTAAAGAAATTAAGTGGAAAGAGTGGAATGATGGTGACGAGAAAGAAGCTTAGAGAACTGACAGCGCAGGGAAAAGAATGCAACACATGGCGTATACGCAATGTTCCTTTGATTTCAACACTCGCAGCCAAGACCAAAAATTTAATCATCTTTTTCAGGGGTAAAAAGAAAAAAAAGAAACCCACTAAGCTGATTAGGGTCCCCTTTACTAATTTCTCTTATTTTCCCCTAGCTCTTTCCATCTTTTCCTTTTTCCCCACCTTGTTTCTTTTTGCATTTCCGTGGACCAAGTAATTTATTGTTTGTTGTGCGTAATTAACCCGCTTCGTGGTCGCGTTCTTGGCTTTCACACTTTGTTTTGTTGCCTTTTCTGCCTAATGACGTTATATACGCTACACTTTGAGCTAGTCCCCAGTTTCCCCCTGAAAGAAAATTTCATTTCATTTTGGTGATTTAAGTCTTATCTGCGTGTAAAGTCGTCCACGTAATTAGTTTCATTCCAGGCTCCATTTTCTTTTTTTCTCCTGTCCAGAGATTGCGACCTGTGCAAGTTTTTCCCCTTTAGCTTATTTTTTTGTGTTTTGCGCTTACATTTCAGAAAATGTGCGCAGCTTTGAAAATGTAGAAGGGCAACTGAGGAGGTCAGGTGGGGCGTGGGGCGTGGCAGGTGACGGGGGCCAAATGTCAGCTTAGTCCTCGCTGGCAATGCGAAATGACAGGCAAATTAAAGCTGAGTGGACGGGTTGGCTATGGCAGCCGACAGACAATTTATCAGAGATACATTTAACATGATAAAGGTATAAAAACAGCTACGTTCAAATGGGGAATAGAAGTGGAAAATAATGGAAAAATCTTCACTGACAGTCCCTGAAAATAATACGAAAGCAAACAAGTTTTTAACTTATCAAGGGGCTTAAAAAAATAAAATCAGTTAGATATGTTTTAAATATATAGTTAAGCCAAGAGTTGGCTGAAATTTAAAGTAGAAATGATAGTTTGGGTGATGTAAAGTTATCAGGTGAAATTGTTAATTCATCGTTTAATACCTACTTAATGCTTGCCTAACGATTTGTGTTTTGATTTCTAAGAAATGCTTTCCGAATTGAAATTAATGCTCTTTTGGTTTACTTACGAGTTTTTTAAACTTTGATTTGTCAACAAATTTGTCATATTAAAATACCAATTCGCAGATTTTAAGTACATTAATCCTAGTTATGATAGATTTCCTATTCGATTGTATAATTCTAATAAAAACTACAAGGATATATAAACTTCGGTTTCGCGACCCAAGTTTCCTTTCTTGTTTAGAGTGTCCTTTGCAAATAAGGAGACGAATAAGGCTACAAGGGGGAATTGTTCTTGGAAGTCTGTCCGCTCCTCAAGCAGCCTGTTGCCAATTGTCGAGCAAACAACTATTTACTTGACATTTGCTAGGGAATGCGTTGTGTTGTGGACCCCTCTTGACTGGCATTCTTTTCTTCTTTTCAGCCCAGGTCCTTTTGTTGTCCTGTTTGCCATTTTTCCAACTAAAAAAGATAAAAACAAATCCCAACTGTTGTAAGAGTCTCTCTTCGAAGCATTAATGTCAACAGAACGTTGCTGCAACTTCTCACCTGTCCCACTGAATATTTCACTGCTCCAGTGGCAGTCAATTGGAAATTCCAAATAAGAAAAAAAATATATATATATAGAGAGGGGAAAATATATTTATATAAATTGCAACATAAATTATACGCACACGGCTAAGGGAAATCGAGCTGGGAGAGCTTGTCCCATGTGCTTAAGCGGAAATCGTGTACGAAATGAAAATGAAAAGTGGGGGAATGGGAGAGGGTGTGGGAATGGGAATGGGTATGGGGAAAGTCACCGCCCCACAAAATGCCGGATTTTTCCGGCGCCATTCGTTGCTGTTAACATTTCCGCTTTATTTGTCTGTCTGCCCTTTCGCCCGCCCGCTTTATCTAGCCTCGCTTTCCCAGCCCGGCACTCCACCTACATTTGTTCGGATTTTTGTTGCTGCAGCTGCAGTTTTATTTTGTGCAGTTTTTATCTCTTTTGTGTCTCCGCTGACGTTGTCTAATGTTTTAAATATAAACTCGAAAATAATGCAGAAAATAAAAGCATAAATCAGCGTAAATATCGCTTTTGGATTTCTTTTCAATCCAGCACAAAAGCGGAGTCAGATAAGAGTGGGACTAGAGTAACTTTTCCATTTTTACTTTTCCTGACTTGCTTTGGCCACCATAAATTATTCGCGCACAAGTTTTATCTTTTAATGCGATACTGGATGTGATGCAGGTATTTATCCTAAGGTATGAGAATGCCACACAATGTGACATTTATTAAACAGAAAGTAGGCTTTGAAAGGGATTATTTCATTTTTATAAACCAGTAGGCCTTGCATTTGAGCTTGTTATATATTGGTGCGGGTTCACGTTTCATATTAGTATTCATTTGGCTCTGGAGCCGTAAACATCTACTTTAACTGAGATATATTTTCTTTGGCTGTCTTTGGCTTTGGGGTTATAATATTTTTACTTATTTTTCTTTTTTTGACGTATAATTTTCTTCCTCGTCATTATTATTTTCTTAGTTTAAATATCTTGTTTTGACATGTAAGTTGATTAAAGATCAGTAACAGGCTATTGTGGAAATTTCTGTTGTTCAGTTGTTTCGGCTGTGTTCGCTATTGAGTTTCATTTATGCTATTAATATATTTTATGGCCATCAGCTGACGCCTCCTTTCGTTCTTTTTCAACCTTTATTTCAAGTATCTTGCTTTGACCTATATTTTGATTAAAGATCAGTAACAGGCTGTTGCTTTTTCGGCTTTTCCTTCACTACCAATGGAATAAATATCTTTTCTGGCTGTCATCCGACGTTTTTCTTTTCTCATTATTTTTATTTTTATGTTTATTTTGAATATTTTGTTTTGACTTGTATTTTTATTAAAGATCTTGTTGTTGCTTGCTTGTTGTTGCGTTGCATTGCATTTTTACTATTTATGCAATTAATAAATTGGATTTACTTTTTGAAACATATTTTTCTTCTTCCTCATTTCTGGCTGTCAGTCGACTTGCTAACAGCTCTCCAACTGCCCAAGGAAAGTGACAGTCAAATTTCCCGTTCAACTCCTGGCGCCCTGATGAGCGATCAATCAAACGTGGCATGCAAAGGACTCGCACCAGTCCCGTCGGCTTCTCCTTGCAGTTCCTTGCAAATTGAAACGTGTGCGACGCATCCTTCCTACCTCGCCAACCAGCTTCCTGGCTACCTGGCTACCTGGCCATTTGGCCACACGAAGCAGTTAATTAAATGATGAAAGCATTGACGTGTCGTTGGGACTAAACGGCCACGAGGAGAACGAAGGAGTCCATCTAGTTGGCCAAGAGCAGTCAGCCAGGCAGCAGCCCAGAAGTGCTGACATGACTGGCTGAAGGCTGCCCGAGAGCCAGGTCCTTGCAGCCTGACAGACGCACGTTCGGCGAGTCCATAATGCAATGAGGGAGCTGCGTGAGCTCCAGCCACTCACAAAGTCCTCAACGAACAGTGGAGCAGAGGAATGGGGTTTTTGATGAGATGTGCCATGAAGTTTCCTTGGCTGAGAATATGCTTTAGGATGCAAAATGCTGAATTTTCGGTCATAAGGATTGATTCAATAAACAGAACTAAACTAAGAGTGGAGCTACGGAGCTTAATTATATAGTAGTTTTCTTTTTGTTAACGCTTAATATGGATTAAACGATTTTAAATATTATTTAAAGCCACGGAAAAAGTTTTGTTTAATAAAACTCTACCTTGATTTATGAGAGAATCCCCCTCTAGATAAATCTAGCCATTCACCACTGTGGTTTGGGTTAAAGGATGGATTCTCACCGGGGTCACGTACACTCTCCAGTTGCATGTCACACGCCGCTTGATTGGTTGCCTGATTCGTTGATTGCCATGCTCGTCGCTCACGTGACATTGCGTAGCCCCTGGGCATTGTCCAGGTCATCCCATCAGCAATCCATTGCCAGGATTCAGGAATCCACACTACCCACACACCGCACACCCACACCTGCCATTCGATCCAGTGTGTGCGAGTGTGTGTGGTGTGCTCGTTCTAATTTTCATTTCATTTCCATTCGCAAGCGTAAACTAAACCAACCAAAGTTGGCCAAGTCAGTGGGCCATTTGCTGATTTGATTGATGGCCCACAACTTGCTGCTGCTGTTTGGCCAGCTAATGAACTTACATAACTGTACATAACTGAATCCGTTGGCAAGTTATGGCTCATGTTGCTAAATGTAAACAGATTTTCCACTAGTTCCAGCTTGGCACTCGAGGGTAACGCACTAAAGTGGTGTTAATTAGTAAAGTTGATAAATTCCCGCAGATTTAACATATCAAGTGGGCAGCAAAGTTATGGTTTTCCTCTGTGATGTTGGTAGTTACAGATAAAGTTTTTCCAGCATGTTACATGTGAGTATTTTTTCATAAATTGGCTGGCCATGTCCTGGGGATCTCAGGTCGCAAGTTAACATGT